GGCGGGCATTCAGTAATTGGCCGCGAGGACGTTATGTTGTTGTTGTTTGTTTTGTTTTACTGCGGCTCGTGGTATCGAGCGAGGAGTGGATGCAGCTCCGCCGCCTCTGCAGCCACTGCATACAAAGGGTTACGCAGAGTCAGCCGCGGTTTAAAAATAGACTGTTGCTCTCGCCTGCCTCTGCACGGGCCTCTATGGATCTCCGCCCTTAAGCTCTTGCACGTGAGGTAAAAATAACCCTCTCTGTGAAAACACGCACACGCACACACACACTCGCACAAGCAGTCGGTACGTTCTTCGCTGTCAGCCGCTCCCTCGTGACAAACACAACACAATCTCTGGCTGTTAAAAAAAGATGCACAGAGGCTCAGATGAAACACTGGCTGCACACGCTTTGCTCCGCAGGGCGTAATTCAACCTGCGGCTTTTTGCTCGCGGCAAATGCTTGTAAGTAAGGCGGCGTAGTAAAACAACAAAAACGCCACCACACGTGTGAGTCGTGTGCATTTGATGGAACTGCAAGGAAAGCGTCTGCACATGTGTTTTGTTGCGCGTCCGTGTCTGTGTGCACAGACCTCCGGGTTGAAAGGATTTCGGGCCCCTCGGCGGTCGGATGAAAGCGGCTCCATTTGCTTTAATGTGATTTTCTTCTTTTTGGTTCCGAGGCAACGCGGCATTTAATTAAGAAGGGGTCATTTTCGCTGTGACCGGCTCGTCCTAAGCTGCTGTTATTTGTGCCATTTAAAAAAAAAAACTAAAAAAAAACTGCCACAGCTCGTTGCATGATGGCGGTAATTAGAGATACAGAGCCGGTGGACATTTTGTGGTGGAAGAACATCCCGAACGCTCAGAACATATTGGTTTTGTTTATCTACTGAGGTTTCAAGCGTCCTTTCAAGGATACATCACGCTGTTTAAATAAGATAAGTGCTTACCTAAGTGAGCATTGAATTGTTTTCTTTGCTTTGTTAAGTTATCTTTAAACATGAAAATCCTCCTGTTCAAATTGAGTTTTTTTTGCTCCATGTCTGGAAGGGTTCCCGTATATTTAGATGCAGTGATGATTGAAGTAATTTGAGTCTCCATTTTTCTCATTCAAGAGATCGACCAAAAACCTGTAGCATCGGCGTCCTGCTGGTTTTCTCTGCCTTGCGTCCCACAACAGGGACGGGAAGCATGTTTTTTTTGGAAGGATGCTCATGGTGAGCAGCTGTTGGACCAGGCTCATATGGCCCAAATCCAAAAGGGCCTTTGAACATCCACAACAAGTTGTGTTCTGTTTCCGTAGCCCTGCATGTCCTCTTTGTCTGTCGGCAGTGGAAATAAGGTTCCACTCGGTGACCAACCTGACCCGCCGGGTGGTTTGGTACACAGAACCTCGTCACTAGAAACCGGGCCACTTTGTGACGTCATTGCCCGTAGCTCCTCCCAGGCCGCTGTAGCTCCTCCCTCAAATAGCTTTCCTGAAACCAGATCAGGTTGATTTTTTTGGTCCCGAGATAAAGGAATCCAGCTTGAAGAACTATATCATCACGAAAAGGAAATAACTTTATCTGGGGAGGTACCTTGTCGGACACCGGGCCGAATCAGACAGTTTGTCATTTTACCTGTTATTTATATGAATTTATTTAGGATGAGTTCAAATGTGTGTGGCGGAGCCATAAAAGAAACCTCTCAACTCGCTCCGAGCGAGAACAGATCTCTGCTCCGCTGCGACTGTGGAGTCACAGCAAGTCATCAAAATACCAAATGGATACAAAATAGAAAACAAACAAATTGCCAACAAGCACATTGTTTTGTCCTGACAATCGTTCCACTTGGCCAGCAAAGGCGTCTGTATGTGCATGCACGGACACGAGTGGCGTTGCGTATTTCTGAAGATGTGCCATTGGAGGATTGATCGGGACGCCGACCAATTCGCAGCTTGAGCTTGAGATGTGGCTGAAATCGGTCCGTCATCCAATCTCACATCTCCTCTTTGCCGTCTTTTCTCGGCCAGGGAAATAAAGGCCAAAGCCGGCTGTTATCGGAGGGGAGAGAGGGGGGGGAGGAACTAGACCTAGAGATGTTCAACAGTGGTCTCAGTTCACTACACAGGTTTTTATTAAAAGCCTTGTAATAGGCTAGATTAGTCTGCAGATGTGGGCTAATCCTTAAAAGACTATGGAAAGGAAGCGGGGGATCCGGGGGGGTTTCTGGGCCTCAGCAGGAAACACCTTCAGGGCTGCTTCAGGGTTGGATGTGGTCTTTGTTACACTCACAACCACTGCTTTAGCTTTATAGACTTGCTCACGCTTCGTATCGCATTTTCTTTCATCGCTTTGTAGCTACACAAACGGCTTTTATTATATAATAGCCAACTTGTTGAAATAGTTTTTCTTTTTTTCATTTAGGTTTCCATTAAGTTTCCTTGTAATTAATTTTACAGACTAAGGATCCCCCCCCCCAAAAAAAAAAAAAATCAGTTTGGGCAATGATGATATTTGTTGAAGGAGAACTTAAATCACATTAAATATTAGCTGAAATAAGCAGCTTTGTCCTCCCATCAGTTATCAATTAGAACGTTTTATGCAAGTCTCACGTAAGTATTACATAAAATTAAAAGCTTATCGCCATTCGTAGTCCGTTTATTAGTGAGAGTACAAGACCTTTTAAAACCGATCTTTGTATATCATAAAAGTTTCTAAAAGTTTTCGTATTTGGCAAACCCCAAAAATCCAATGCCTCCAAATGAACAGCTTTATGAATGAGAATACTCTACATTCCCAGTTCCATTGAACTATGCAAAACCTCTTTTTGAGGCTGAGCAAATGAAATGAAAACATTCCTTTCCACATCTCTCCTCATTTGAAGCGCTAATTTGAATTTGGCTGTGAGTAATCACCTGTCCAAAGAAAACCAGTCGCTGGGCCGGCCAGGCAGCGTCTGCAAATTCAGCCCCATTTGCATTGTTGCAACGTGGTATTTTTAGACTTAATGTGTAATGGGGCGCTTTTGAAGAAGGACGGAATTAAAAGGAGCGGCCATCTGAAGACGGGACTTCAGTCGGTGACATAAGCCTCGTGCCACTAATCTTCAAAGGCGGCCGCGTAACACTGGCTTTCCCTCCGTCTTTGTTTTGAAGTCGTAATTGTTATTTAATGTGTGCTCTGTTTTGTGGAAAAGGCTGCGTAATGATAATTGCATTGCCTTTTTCTCCTCCACCTCGCTTTGATATGTGTGTGTGTGTGTGTGTGTGTGTGTGTGTGTGTCCCTGGACTCATCAAGAGCTCTTGTGTTGTAATTTCATTAATGGTTTTGCAACACGGAATGCAAGAAGGCCACGGCAGCAGATCACCAGGAAGGACGATCACATGCTCACTGCGGTTAAACTCAGTCGCATTATGACTTGTGCATCTTTCCCTTAATGAAACTCCATTCATCCTGTTTGCTTTGTTATACGAGACCAAACCGGTACAGTAAACCGCCTCCAACTACCACTTGGTACCGGGAAGAAAAACTGTTTTTTTTCTTTGAAATATTTTATTTTGAAATATCCAAAACCTGTTCATTCCCAGGTTTGCTGCTATTTACTTGATCATCTTCACTTATATTTATATTTCTGTGCTTTTCTTCATGTTGTGTTATTATATTATTAGTGGTCGACGATGAGGCTTTAGAGAGGATCTAGAACAAAGCAACGGTCCATTCTGAATCCAATGCCGACCCCACCGACCAGTACTCGGACCCACTGGGTTTTACCGCCGGTGGCAGCAGTGGGCGCTGGTCGGAGCGGAGGGCTGTCGAAGCGGTCGTTCATCGAGGTGACCCTCTGTGCGGGACTCTGTACTCTGGGGGGGGGATTTGCAGTTAGCCGGCCGCCTCAGACTCAAAGACAGTCGCTCAGCGTCCCCTGAGACATTCAGCACACGTGATGCATTCTCAGGAATTAGTCATGTTCCTTTCAATCCGCCGCATGCAAATCCAATATTCCCATTTCCCTTTGTCTCTGTTTTAATCTCTGCCAGCTCATTAAAACCCTATTTGGGTTTAACTTTATATGCCTAGTGGATATTTAACTATCTGGAAAGTGTCTCTGTCTGACGTTAGTCTGCATGTAGCATACTGATTTGTCTTCTCCTTCTGGTAATGGTAATGCGTTTGCTAACAAAGGGATAATAAGTGAACTGAGGCGCAGCGGTTGTGAGTGTTTCTTGGGTTATGTTCACGTCTCCACACATTACTCTCCTCTTTTATCCCCTTCCCCCTCAAAACTTCTCCTACTGTCTTTGCATTCTTGCAGCCGGAGAAGGAATAGATCCACGTGTTGTTTACATTTTTAAGTGGACGGCCTGAGTGCTTCATGGTTATGTCGTTTTTTTTAATTTTACGAGCTCCGCTTGGTGCAACAAGACTTGCATCCTGGATGTGAAACTTGATGTAACCCGGGCAACGACAACCCTGGCTGTCGTAAATTAATACCGTACCGAAACATGGGGATGGAGATGCTTTGACCGAAGGGTGTTTGTTCAGACTGGATCAATCGTTTAAAACTTGTCAAACCACACAAAGAAGCTGACTGCTCGTCAGGAGGCAGAAACAGAGGTTTCCCTTTGAGATATTCCGTAGATGAAGCAGAGCACAGCTGTGATCCATTACGGCAGAAGAAGATGCTGCTTTAAAAGGCATCCAAAATGGAAACAAAGCTTTTAGTGTGCTGTCGGTCTTCAACTCAGGAGCATCTTTTTAAAAAATGACCAAAACTAAACACGCGAATCCACACGTGATCTCAGCACTTTACTCCACTTCGTATCTTTGCATAGCAAAATGCTGTTTGCTGCCATATGCCTGCGCTGACTTTCAAATGTAGCACCTTTAATTGACCGTTACGTAACCGTTTAGTCATCCCCGGCCCTCCGAGCGCTAACGTGTCATTTATTCTGGGCCAAATCTGAAATTATGTAAGCAGAAAGTGTGTGTGTGTGCGAGTGTGTAAGAGCTTCTCCCATCTCCTGTTGCAGGATGGCCATCCAGGTGGACAAGTTTGACTTTGAGACTCTGCCACAGCCGGACCAGCAGACTGCTTGCTTCACTAGCCCCAAACAGCTGGAGGAGGAGCGACAGCACGCCCAGGGCTCCCAGATCAACAGCAAGCTGGGCATCTGCTGGAGCATCATATCCTTCAGACCGAGCTGAACATCTCTTAGAAACACAATACATCTATGTGGTCAATGTGTACGTGGCTAATTGACTGTGCTTGGTTCCACCCATTTAAATACGCGGCCAAACAGAAGTATTCGGCACTGTGTTCGTTGAACGTTGCCGTTGCTATCGACGATACGGGACATCTGGATCCCACATCTGGAGGCTCCTCTGGCCAGCGGGGAGCGTGTTCGCCTGCACTGACAGACGGGGAAGCGTATGGCCAAGTGCTCGCCGCTGTGAGTTCCCGTCTCGGGGTAGCGTGTGACTTTGTCGGGCACTTTGATACAACATCCGACACACGAGGGGATCCTTGACCGCATCGTCGGCACGCTGCTCTCCGCCCGGCTGCTTTCCCTCACGGACGCAACACTTTCAACCCGCCTCTTCTATCCCCCCGGTCATTCACAACAACATGACGTAGGAGCACACGTAAAGCACAATCCATCTTTTTTTCACAAACTCTCTATTAGGTTTATGAAACTAAAAATGAACGGTCCGTTTTCTCAAAATTAGCCTCTCAAAAATCAAATTTGAGCCTCAAGCTGTGGTTCCATTGTATTTTCCCGCTAATAATTCCCATCACTGGTCATCTGCAGGCAGTGATTGACTCATAAATCCCATCATTTTAACCAGTGAGTGAATTCCAAAGCGTTTCAGGCTCAGCTTCACATTCTTTGCTCGACGGCGAAACAGTGGACATGTTTTTTTTGGGGTAAAAAATAAATGTATGAAATGTAAAACACACTCACGAGGCCGTCTGGTACAACGGATTTTTTTTTAATGTGTGACATTTTAGGCCACACTTTAAAATAAAGGTAAATAAAACGGCGACTCATGCTCGGTAGGTGTAAATGGGCCGACGGCAGAACCGTCACGCGACGTTAACAAGTGACGCCGCCACGCTATCGTAGCCGCGTGAGGACGGCGACCCATCCGTCTCACATGGTTTGATCAGCAGCGTTTAAATTGTGCTTCAGGGAGGATTCTCCCGTTACAACATGAGACGACAAGAAGATGATAACAGGGGGCGTCTCACTGGGCCCCCGAGCAGAGTAACCGTCGCTTTAATTCGTCCTTCATGGGTTAGAAGTCGTGTTTCGTTGATGGTGGGCCACTAATGTGTTAATGGTGTCTTCCCCTTCAGGAGGTCCTTATGGATGTGTAGCTTTACACATCATCTTGACTGCAGAGTTCATTACGTTGCTCGTAAGCAAGCACACTAACCTAAATGTAATAATGCATCTGCATTGACGTGTAAATTAAATCAAATAATGGATAATAATACTAAACCAAAGCAATCCTAGCAAGCTCGCCTGGAGTGCATTCAACACGCCCCCCCCCACCCCCCCCAATCTATTTAGTCGAACGCTTCTCCCGCTCACTTTTTCCTCTTTTCTTTCCAAATGTCGTGTCACTTTTTCTTTTTTTTCGGTTCAATCCACAGCCTTTCCCTCGTTGCGGCACTTAACCCCCAAATTGCTCCCAGGTGTACGAATGGGGATGAATGATCAGTGCTGATGTGCAGGTGGCACGTGGCATAGAAGCCCCTGGATCAGTGGATGAATGTGCCCCCTTTACGCTTTCTCTTTTTATTTGGTCAACGTCTGCAGCTGCCTTTGAATTTAGTAGTTACTTATTAGCCAGTAAGTCAAAAGGGGGGGGGGGAGAAGAAAAACATAACAAACAACTCAAAGCTACTCATCAGCAGAGCAAAGCAGAGACGCACTATTCTCATTTCCAATACCTGTCGAGAAGTTTTAAATGAATGTCGGCAATAACTTCCGTCCATTCGCTTTTGAAGGCATGAACGTATTCTGGCGAGCGACGTGAGAACCGACATGCTGATCATCCACACGTCCTCTCTGGGAAGACTCGGCTCCGCAGCCATTAAAGGCAGAGGGAAAAATATGAGCCTAAAGTGGATTTCACTCCTTATTGGAGAGCTTAATCTTAGAATAGAATCCCGTGACTCACATCCGCAGATAAATGGATCTAGTGATGCTTACCATTTATTTATTTCTACAGTCTCCCCCCACCAAATGTACATTGTGTTCTTCACACGACCCTCTACCCGACCCGCCTTCTAATGCGTTGATTTAACAACGAGTGTCGTGCAGGACAGATGGCGTTGACAGACCAGCGTATACGTTAAACCGAGGTTATGATCCAGGGTCGGTATCACGTCAGCCTCGCACAACACTCCCACAATTCAACCCGTCGGTCCGCGTGCAGGGACACAAATAGTTTGTTTTGTGTCGCGCTCTGTTCGGGAGAATGCCAAATAAGGGCCAACTGAAAAATCACATGACGTGACGTTTTGGCGCGTAAAAAACAAACCATTTGCCAGTTTTTCTAAACCTAACGGAGCAGTTGTGTTGCTTTTAAGTTTAGTACAAAATGCAACATTGTCTCCCCCCCAAAAATAGTCGGACACTAAAAAGCAAGCCACGGTTTTATCCACAGGGGATCTCCTCGCCCCAGAGGATCAGAGCTCCATTGAAAGGTGCGATTCACCGTGAGTCTCTTCTCGCCGTCCTCTTTCCTCAGAGGCTGACAGGCCGAGGTTCGGTGCCCCCTGGGCGCTGCTCATCTCGCCCATTATTCCAAATGTCAGCGGTGTAAACCATCAGCTGTGTCCTTATCATCACACATTATCTCCGTAATTGCTCCCTGACAGCCGCGTTTGTTTTGACGCAGCATTGAGAGCCGGCCGGCAGTCGGCTGCCATCACACTCGGGTCACCGAAGCGTGCTCGCCATTTCCGTTTGAGGTCTTCGTAGTGAAAATTAAAACCACTCTAAAATGAGCCGAGATCTGCTGCCGTTTAAAAAAAAAAAAAGTAACAAAAAGCTAAGCAGTAACTCCGGCGTGAACATGTACGCGCTGCGCTGTGGTTTCACTTGTTGATCGCTTCTCCGTCGCGTCGTCCTTAACCTCGCCCACCCTTCCCTGCGGCGCCGCGGAGAGGCCAGCGTGGAGGGAGTCCTCAACCAGCTGGTCCTGGAGCACCTACAGCTCGCTCCTTTGCAGTGGGGTGAGTCACTCGTGTGTGTGTGCGTGTGTGATTGTGTGCATTAGTGTGACATTATGAGCTGTGGTCACTCACACTTGACACGTTTTCTTGACACGTAAAATCCATATCGGGTCAAAATACACGATTTGTGGGAGATGAAATTAGAAGGTTTGTCCGTACGTGTCTGACTGCCAATCACAGGACGTGGCTCCGCGCACACGCCTGCACAACTGGTCTCAAGCCATGTTTTTCATTTGCATTGGTAATGGCCTACAGGCTGCCCCGCGGTAAGTGTGGTCGGCACCCTGGGAAATGTTTGCATCACCGGGGAAACGTGAATTTGTAGGAGCACTCTTCGGTCTCACCATCTGTCATCGTCCCGGGAAAATCCCTGGAATCATCCCGGGTGAATCATCTTGATTCACTGCGCGTGTTTGTTTTTCCTGAGATTCCCGGTTTTCGGGCCCGGCCAGCGTTTTTGATTAGTCCCGCGCCTGCAGAGGGGGACGCGACCTGCGTCACCACTCGAACCGTTGGAGATGGTGGAACTTCACCGGGTCCACTGTCTGTTTTTTTCCATGATGGTCGTATGTTTCAGTGCCGACGGCTGCTGTCTCCTCACGTCTCGGCTTCACTGGCGGTAGTCGTGCAGCTCCAGGTCGGGCCTCTGCAGCCCTTGATGATTATGAGCCAGATAATTCGTCTCCGTTTGTTCCGATGCCAAAGACCATCACAGGCTCATTTCCTCCGTGTAGAGAATAGTTATTTCCAAGGATGCTTGTAACGTCTCTGTAAGCGCCACACTTGCAGAGACACTGTAGATGAAGACGAGTCTTGTTGTCGCTGTGTTTCTGCGCTGTAATGTTCCTCCACAGCTTTGTGCTCTGTGCTTCCATCGGTTTCATGCTCATTATTAATATATTTCGCTTGGATAACGTACTTCAGACAGAAAATACTGCTTTCTAACTGCAACGGCTTTCACTCGACCTCCTGTAGCTCAAACCATCAAAAGATTTGACCCGTCTTCTATGAGGAATCCAATATCCTGGGCAAACCTCATCTTTAGTCACTTTCCCTCCCATGTGATTATTTAAACTCCTCGAGGAGGTGATAGGTTCATTTCACACACAAAAATCCCCAATTAACCACTCGAGCATGAATGGATTCCACCCTCTCGCTCTAAGCTTTTACTGAGCAGATGTATACCGTCTCATCAATGTGGGATCGAAGCACCTCCCAAATGGGCCTGCGATTCTAAAAACGTAGCCGCTGTTTTGCCCGCGTCGTTTGCATCCAATGGAATGTCGTGAACCTCTTTTAACGGTAACGTGATCTCTTTAACAATTGCGATTCCATTAGGGACAACAGACAAAGGGGAGAGGCCGTTACCCAGCCGATGTTTAATGGGCTTTGTGCTGTTTTTGTGCGTCATAGTAATCTCGAGGAGTGCATTAAAACCTAGAAGTCTCCTTTAGCCAACCTAAATTGGGTCAGCTGTGCCCTTTCCCGAGCAGAAGTCCGCCGGGGGAGTCATTAGGCGTGACACAACCGTGGCATTTTTCCCATCAGCGGGCATGAGGAGACGCGAGTCTTTGAGCGGCGTCTGGGCCGCATTAACCCCGGGCCGCTCCACGAGCGGAGGCAGAGGCCCAGCGGGGCCGCGCGCCGCCTGCGCCTGAAGTCCCGCGTCGGGGTCATGATGCTTTTCCAGGAGTGTGTTTCTTACAGCTGTTTAAACGTTTCCTTATTCCGCGTCGATGTCCCCGCTTTCAGAAGCATCACGTGCAATTAGGACGACCCAATATTAAAATTAACCAAAAAGGTAAAAATATTCCAAACTATTGAATGTTATATATATATTATATATATATATATATATATATATATATAATATATTTGTTATATATATATATATATAATTATATATATATATATATTATTATATTATATTATATATATATACATATACATAGACACATTCACTGTGAGCATTTATTTATCGCCTCTGTGCCTCAGGCCACAGTTGTGTAAGACAGAGACACGGATCTCATTGCTTCAGCTCGGGCAAACGTGTGCAATACAAACCTATGAATATTTGATGACCCGGGTTCCAGTGAATGGACAACATAGAATTTTCCAGAATCTTTATATATTGCTATTGTGTTTGTGTAGCAGCTCATTATTATCATCATTATCGTTATTATCATTGAAAGGCCTTTAGTAAAGGATACTTCCTCGGGGCAGAGCTGCACTGACGTAATGTCAGATCAAATATGGTGAAACTCGCCACATAATTACAAATAAATAATGCAAGTTTATTCGTTTATTTTCTTTAATTAGTGTCTCTCTTGTTTTGTGCTGAATTTGAATGTTGGGCTTCAGAGGGGGGCTGTAATTCAGAGAGTAAGCTACAATGAGAAGCGGATTACTTTCACATTGATGTTTGCTTTTAAGAAAAGTCTTTTTTTCTTTTGTTTTTTTAAGTGTTTTTTTCTTCACTGACGGCTTCCTACAATGTGTGTGTTGTAATGCCAAATAGTCCCCTCATAAATATTCATAATTATTCATAACATTAATCGTAAGAATTTAAGTATCATATTGCTACAAAACGGTTGGTCACTGACTGACATGAAAGGATCAGTATATTCATCTCATAGTTTTCATACATTATAATCTATAATATCATTTATAGATGTCACTGTTGTGATTCATTACAATGTAATTATTCTAAATAGTTGATGGGTGCTATAAGTGAATTAATTCAAGCTATAACTTATAAGTCCCTATAAAATCATTATTTGAAAATTAAATGTTATTGAGTGACCAGCAATTATGAGTATTATTCTTTAAAATAGTTAATGTATATGTGTGTGTGTGTGTGTGTGTGTGTGTGTGTGTGTGTGTGTGTGTGTATATATATATATATACACACACACATACATACATTATCAGAAGGTTCGCAATGGATTATAGAAGTGTATTTCCAGGTTTTCCATCTTCATTTCACACCGTCTGAAGCGCTTTTCTCCTCCAATACTTTTTGCAGACAGTTTGAACATTGTTCATCTGATTCCATAGAATTACCCTTCAAAAAGCCTCCTCTTGTACTAAATAAAATAACATTAAGTATGAACCGTGACTGCAATGCACCGGGCTGATTTGCACCGCGATCAATTCACAGGCAATTTTTATGCCGCAGTGAAATATTGTGATAAAGGCTTAAACCCTAAAATTGGCCTGATGCGTTGAGTGCTGATTCCAGAAGGTTTGCTGGGTGATTGTGTTAACGGGAGAGCAGACGCAGCCCTGACTTTTGTATTGCTGTATTGACTTTGGACTAAACCCAATTCATTCCCCTTTTTATAGTAATGGATGTTAAAAGCTCCCAAGGAAATGAACAATACCACTTCGTGGTCCAAATGTATCCAGATTTTCAAACCTTCTCATCCACGGCTGACGATTTAAAATAATGCACTCCGCTCGTGGGTCGCCGTCAAATCGGGTTCTTCTGACCCAGTGCCAACATCGTGGGCGTAATGGGCATCCTATGTTTGTTTTATTGGTGCAGATGTTCCCCACCTGCCCCCTTGAATCACTATTTTCGAATTGGTACCTATTTCGCGGACCTCTGAGGTTCCTGGAACCCACTCGGAGAAGCGCTTTGAATGTAGTGTACGTTTGTGTTGATTTGCGCTTTCCTTTGTCCATTCCAGTGTAACCGCGTAACTATAAGAGCCCCCACCACCCCCCCCCCCCCCCCTCGCGATGCCCCGGCAGGTGGTATCATTTTTATATTTGTTTTGCAGGCCAGCATTATGTAAATACCGCGATTGATTTCAGCCTCTCCTGCTGTCCATTTGATTAAAGGTTTAAAGTGGTGGAGCTGCTGATAGGAGTCGCCCTGTCAACATAACGGTGTGTCGGCCGGCTCTCTGGGGGTCACGATGCCGAGGGAGGAGTTCAGACGGGAAGCTCGCTGATACTTTTGAGCGCAGATTAAACATTTTTAATGACGGCAAACACGAGCAGCTTGCTCTTTGTTGATTTGACTGCGAGTGGGAAAAGGCTAATTAGTCCGTATAAAATAAATTGTAGCATGCCAGCAGTAGAAAAACGTCAAGACCAAAATATCCTGCTAATGAGGAATATTTTAAGATGAATGAAGCGATCAATAAAGAGCGGTATCAGGCCCCCGTAATGAACTGATTCACTTCAAACCCTTTTTGAAGCGACTGTTGGCCGGCTTTGATTTTCAGTATTGGCCGCCTGCTGTAACCAGGCAGTGAGATGGAAAACAGCGAGCCGGACTTTGCACCCCCCCCCATCCCTCCCCCTCCTCCTCCTCCCCCATTCCCACCGGGCGCCCATCTCAATGGAATACAAATTCACCCATGAATGGAAAGACAAATGTTTAGCCTGGCAGAGAGATGGAAAGAGACGGGTGGGGGGGCCTCGCTGTAAAAGGCCGACAGATAATTTAATAAGATGGAGCTTCTGAACCGGCTCACATCTTCACTTTATATTTAGTTTCCCTCTCGTCGTCTCGGGTATGAAATGCTGCAGGTTTGACAAATGGTGCTTCCAGTCCGGATCCATCTAGCGCCGACGTCCTGTTGGTGATGATGGTAAGAGCTGCGGACCCGAGAGAGGGGGGGGGGGGCATCGGCGTCCAGTCTTTAACTTTTCTGTGCAGGGTCAAATCAGATTATGCAAAAGACGTCTGCGGAGGTTGGTGAGGGTTTAAATCCAGCGGAGCAGCTCGTTGGTGGGGCCCACTCGAGGGTTTGCGCGCAGCCCCCCCTTTTTTTTTCTTTTCTTTTTGTTTTATTCCTCCTCGGCGCTCGGTGGATCGCGCCGGTCTGATTTGGGGGGGACGGGCATTCATCACGGCTGCGGAACAATGCCGGCTGTCAGCGTGCCGGTTTGGGCGGGCTGTGGAAATGAATCAAAGCTCCTCCGTCCTGCCATCGTCAGCCCACCGGGCGCTCGCCCATTCACGTGGGACGGGAAGAGGAACGGAA